GTCGGACCGATGGTGAAGCTATCGAACGGCTATGGGCGACACTTAATCATCTCTCTTCAAGTACTTCAAAAATGACTCCCGGCTTTCGACACGATACACTCAACCTCCACCTTACGGATTGGAATGCCCGCAAAACCAAAAATATGGGTAAGTCATCAACAATCTTTCGGTCGTATCTATGGTGACACTAGGATTGTTAGCTACTTATCTACGCTTGCACCTTCTAAAGGCATATAAGCAATATATAGCAATGAGAGCCGACTTCTCTACACTCTGTGAAGGGTTGAAACCCGCCCTAGTAATGGTAACTACCCTCTCAGCTCATGCAATATCGGAGGTAACTAAAACTCGTTGGTAGGAGTGGACCGAAGCCGAAGACAACTTTGACGTCCAGAAAGATGAAGGGAATATCTATCAAGTTGCCGCTAATAAAGGTATCTCCTTACACTGAGTTTCGGATATATTGACTGACTATGCTTGAAGTCCCTGGCCGCGCAGACATATTGGACACGCTTCTTGCACCACGGCACCCCTCAGGAGGTGATCCGGATCCTGGAGAGCACGGTGATCCTGCAGAGGTCGCGTGGGTCAATGAAGGTCTCGAGATCGAGGATATGCAGTAAGTTTCATGATCCTGTCTTTATTTTCATTGTTGACGTGTCGTATTAGATTACAGGTCAAGGCGAAAAGCTTAACTGTGGACTCGGGCGTTATGGATATCGAACACGATCGTCTTGCAGCTGATCGCAATGTCTTGATTGAGCGCATTGCAAAATGGCGCTCTCAAAGGCCTGCCACTGGGGAGACGGATCCTTTGGAGGTGTCAAACTGCGAGTCAGATCTCGATGATCCATCAACACTTCCCGAACATGAGCCCTTATCCCTTCCTTCCAATCTTCCCCCCGACGAGCGTCTTAACAAGTGTTCAGAAGTTGAACTGAGCTTACGTGAGGGTCAGGCAAATGATGCACTGGCAGGCCTCCGACTACGCCTATCCCAACAAGTGGCCTTATATTGAGCAAAGGGGATAGACATTCGTGGGCAGCATGCCAACATCAGGAAAATGTCATGTCACTAATTAGTGCTAATTAGTGATTTTAGTGGCTTTAGCACCTTAGCTACTCCCCCTATTCCATAGCACCAATTAGCACTAATTAGATAATTGATTTGCTAAGACCTGCTAATGAAATGTCCAAAAATGGTACTCAAAATCACCAAATAATGTACAAACAATCAAGAAATCAATTCAAAAGTCACTATATACAGCAGTACTACCAACA